TTTCCCTGCTTATTTTTTTTTTACTTTGGTCCCTAGTTTTCAATCTCACCCTCCTCCAATAAATTGATTTATAATTTGGTCCAATAAGGGATAAATTACAAAAAAAAAAAGGAAATGTAAATAATTTTTTAACAATGCCACTTGAGAGAATCCACGATGCATTTCACATAGTGAATTCCCCCATGCATTTGAGATTTATACTTAATATTTAATTTGAAAAGGAAGAGAGAGGCCATTTGAATACAGGTTATAGGATCTGTGAGGTTTGGAAAAGAAAAGATTTGGGCTACAGCCAGCCGACAAGGCTATGCATGTGCATCTTGGACCTCATCAGACTGATCTGGGTCAGTTTCAGGTTCAGATTCAGAGCAGGTTCAAGACTGTTTTTCAAGCCCTTCTATATGGGATCAATGGTGGAAGGTGGAAGGTGGAAGGTTTGCTATTTAGAGATTCAAAAGGCTCTCTATTATATGGTAGAGCTCTCAGATGCTGTTACAGGCCGGCGTTGCATGGTGAATTGCTGGCTGTGTGAGAAGCTTTGAGAATGATAGACCAGATCGCTTCCAAAGTGACCCCGTTGAATCAGAAAATTCAGTGGAAGCAATAGCTGCCATATTTTCTGTATCGACCTAGCTCGATTTTGGAGATTGAATCCATAGTTATATGCAGCAAATCTATATTGTGTAAAAATCAACTACATTACTAGCATAAGAACCATGAAATTCAAAACTCAATCAGAACATACGAACTGTGTGATAGGAAGAACACGTTATCTTTATTAGATCAAGCACCAATTTGCTGGAAAGTGCACAGCAATGCATAAGGCTGTTAAGAAAGCAAGCATGCTCTGAGAGACCTAGTGATGTGCAATGCACTTACCAGTGTGCCATTATGGATAATAGTAAATGTAGTTCAAGGCGTGCTCTGGATCACCTAAACATCCTGTTCCTCGGGTTTCATATTTTCATGCTGGTCTCTTGCTAGTAAAATGAAAAGCTGTTCTTTCTAAATTTGGTTGCCTTATCAAAGTCTCATCAGATCATTCTATTGCACTTCGGTTCTTACTTGATGCAACACCAAGTACAAGTTATCGTTACCTCTCCACTGAAACTCCTCTCCAGAAGCCTAGCTATGTCACACAACTAGCATCAGTTCTCCCTTACCACAATCCTATAAATACCTCATCTAGCACTGATCAGAAAACTGCACCAAAATGGCTACCTACATTCCTTTCATCTTGTTTTTTGTTGTCTTCTCGACTTTCTTCTCTGCCATTAACACCAAATTCTCTGAACAGTCCCCTCTAACTATAACCATGAAAGGCATGGAGAAAAAGACAGGCCTGCACTTCTACTTCCATGACATTTCTAGTGGAAAAAACCGAACATCTACAACAATTGCTCAGCCCCTAAACATGACTGCAACTGCCAGCTTCTTTGGCAGCACTTCTAGGGCAGATGTTCTGTTAAGAGAAGGGCCAGAACCAACTTCGAAGCTTGTAGGAAGAGCACTGGGAATTTATGCTTTTGCTTCTCAACATAATGCTGTGTTGCTTATGGTGATGAATTTTGCTTTTGTGGACGGCATCTACAATGGAAGTTCCCTAAGTATTCTTGGGCGGAAAGCCATCTTTGATATTGTGAGAGAGATGCCAGTTGTTGGAGGTAGCGGGGTTTTCCGGCTTGCTCGAGGCTATGCCTTGGAAAAGACATTTTCATTTAATCTGAAGGCAGGAGTTGCTGTCATTGAATACAATGTGTCTGTTGTGCACTTCTGAGCGTTTCTTATCAGTTTGCGGTACTATATTTTCTTTACTTTTACTTAGTTCTGCTTGTTGAACGTTTACACTGTTGTAGCAATGAAATCCTGGTATTTCCTTGCATGTTCAGAATGGTACTATTCCCTGACATGGTATCCTATAAATTTCTGTCTTACATGAAAACTCATTCCTACCAGCTGCGCTATTTTTTAATCCTATAAATAAATTTGATGCCAAGTCAAGGCAGCAGCCCTGGGAATTTGGAATGACCAGGTAAGAATTGCTCACCTTCGAACTGTTGTTCCCTCATAATGATATGATTTCTACATAAACATATAAACACATGAATCAGTATATATTAAAGAAAATCAACTTACAGATTTGTTAAACATAACATGAATTTCAAGATATATATCGGGACAATGATCAACCCTCTGATCTTAAAACAATCTATTGTCAGCTCTCTGATATGATTATCAGGTCTACTCAATCTCGAGAATAAACAGGAAACAAAATTCATAAACGTAACTCTCTCAAAATAATTATGAGAAGGAACAGAAAATTTGACAGAAGGGTCGGGATTTGTTGACAGAATAGGACAAAAAATTGAGAGAGAATTCTTAAATAGGAAGGTCTGATAGAGTTAGAAATGACTAACTTCTTCTAGAAAGAAGGCTCATGTTGACAGCAGGCAAATGGCAGTGCACTTTGCTAAATGGGTAGTGGAAATACTCTGCTTCAGGCATGATGCCAGATTCAAGATTATTTAGAAAAACAAAAACAAAAAAAAACACTTGGGTCAGTTTAGTCAGGACCAGCATGTTAATTTCACCTATGAAATTAAATTTCTGAAGTTCTATTTTCAATCTATTTCATAATCAGTTTGATGTGTATCAAATATAGTTTAACACAGCCTAAACAACAAGCTAACATCAATATTCAGTACTGTGTAATGATCTTGCCAGCTGTTTTACATATTCTATTACTGCAGATTTCCATTGCTAGATGAGGAAATAAGAGAATTCCATTTCGAAATGGATGCAAGATCCTTGCAAGACTCCTATTATAAGCTAGTTCTGAAACTGAATATGATTCTCTCCTATGCAATTTGCTTACATAAACCTGTTACTGTACTATATTAGGAAGAGTACTTCAACTTTGCAGAGCCAAGTTGGAAAATTCAGGTAAAAGTAAAGTAAGCTTTGATGGCATACCCCAATGTAAGGCTGCAAAACCTTCATTGTAAAGCAAGCATGCTCTGAGTGACTTGAGCTGTTGGCCATGTTCAAAGCACTCTCTACTATTCATTATGATGGCATCTTCAGTGATTTTATTTTCTCCAGAATCCACCCAGCCACAAAATAAGCAACCCTGATTGCATACATTATCCATTAATCTCTTAAAATTTTTCTGTTGTTGCAGATAATGGTGTGTCATGTATAAGTAAGAAAGCTTGGTCTTGTTAAATGGCTGAACCACCTGGGACAGGTTAACCTAGTTAATTTCCTCAAATGCTCTTAACTACATTTTCCATTATTCAGGCAATTTGAGCCCCTCTGAAAGTCATCAAATTCTTGCTCTTGATGCAACATCAAGTTCAAGCAATAATTATTTTGCCACATTAGCCCACTTCCAAAAGCCAATCTCGCACTACAATATTCATCAATTCTTGCTCACAATCCTATAAATAGACTCTTCCAGCATTCTTTCCCCAACATAGCTCAGAAAAATTATTCCCTATGGCTTGTTTTCTTGTTCAAATTCTTGTTCTCTTGTATTTCACTGTTTTCCTGACTTTTAGTAGCACTACTAATGGCAAATTCTCAGAGAAATCCCCGATGATAATATCCACTAAACGCATGGAGAAAATGACTCGCCTGCGTTTCTACTTCCACGATATTCCCAGTGGGAAAAACCCAACAAACATGAGAATTGCTGGACCAGAAAAGACAACAGCTGATAGCTTTGGCAGCACTTTTATGGTGGATAGTCCATTAACGGAAGAGCCAGAACCTACTTCAAAACTTGTGGGAAGAGCACAGGGCGTGTATGCTTTTGCTTCTCAACATGATGCTGGGTTGCTTATGGTTTTAAATTTTGCTTTTTTGGAGGGTACGTACAATGGCAGTGCCCTAAGTATTCTAGGTCGCAGTCCAATGTCCGATAATGTCAGGGAAATGCCAATTGTTGGAGGTAGCGGGCTTTTCAGGTTTGCTCGAGGCTATTCATTGTCAAAGACAGTCTCATCTAGTCAAAAGAGCAGAAACGTTGTCGTTGAATACAATGTGACTGTCGTGCATTTCTGAATGTTCTAATTACTAGTGGTATATGCGGTTTTCCCTTTCTTTTACCCAGTGCCTACTTCTTGAATGTGCTCAACACTACAGGGAAGGAAGTATTTTGACTTTCCAAGCAATGTTGTTTAAGAGTTCTGAGTTGCACCTAAAGAAAATTTATTTATGAGAATTTGTTTTTTTTATTTTTAAATTAATTATTTTAATATCACTTTAATTATTAGAATTAAAATAATATTCCATCATACAAACATCTTTATAAATCTTGTTAATTCAATACATAAAATCAAAAAAAAAAATTATATTCTTTCAATAATAAAAATTTATCTTTTTTCATTTGAATTATATCCTTTTTATATATATATCCTTTTTTAGTAACTCTTCTAATAATTTAATTTGAATCAGACCCATCACTCTAATAACTTGAATTAAATTCATCGATCTCCTTTTATATATGATTAGAAAAGTCAGTTATTTTTTTTTAGTAACTCTTTTAATAACACTCTAATAACTTGAATTGAATCAAACTCATCGATCATCAGCGGACCAGACCTAATCCAATATAACCATTAAGAATGATGCATTGTACAGCATCGTTTGCAAGACTTACATTTGCAAGAAATCTGAGCTTTTCTTTTCTGACACAAGAAATTTGCAGGGAAGTTCGATTTCAAAGTGTTGATGATTCTTTCTCGAATCCAAACTAAAGTTCTAGATTTGGGTGAGTCGAATAGATATCATCCAATCTCTATCAGAAAGTAAATAAGGAAATATTTACAAAAATGTTGAATAAATGGAGGAAATGTTTGAAACTTGCATCAGAGCATTATGCAACTGCACATTAAAAGTTATCACCCTTCATACATATTACAGTAACAAAATAAGAGAAAGCACACTCCCCATTTGTTTGATAATCTCTCAGTCATACCTCCTGAATCTCCAAGCCGACACAGAAAAAAGCGGTCTATCCTGCCAGCAAATAACCAAACATCCGTTTTCTTCTTTGATTTTATATCCGTCATAGCCATAACTCTGCAAAAACCTGTTTGCCTGCAGCCTACCATGGTAGCTCAGAGGAACGATCCCGAATCCAGACAACTCAAGCCTTAGAATCCACTTCTCCAACTTCTCATGCCTCTCCTTTCTATCAGTTCCCTCACAAGCAATGATGTTCTTAATTTCCTCCCCAAATAGCATCTTCTCAACCTTATGCCGCTCTAATGATGCTCTTGATACAGTAGACTCCAAACAATCAAATAGCGCAGCATAAAAAATCAATGCTTCTGTGACCCTCTCCATTAAATTAAATCCATTATGACTTGACTCTTGCTCAGTTATCACCATCAATTTTGGTGAGAGACTCCTAAGTGCATTTAGAAAGCTGCCCATCTTTGGTGAAGCAGCAAGAGATAGTGGGGATAATGCTGAGTCAGGACTTACCACATCTTTCTCAAGCCAATCACCGAGAGTGCGTCGGTTTTGATTAATCTTAAGTCTCTGAAAATGGTTAGAGTTTGGATTCTGATATCCTGATGGAGAGTTCCTTCTATGCATCTCATCATCCATTGCCAATAGAGTATGCAGCTGGAGTACAGAACTGACAGCAAGAGCTTCTCCGGTCTTAACACGCAAATTTTCAAGGTCAAGATTCTCTAGTTTGCTCACAATAGGATTGAACTGAAATGGGATGTCCAGCTTTTCAGCTTCTTCTGTCAATCGAAGAGCCATTTGGTCCAACACCTCCTTCTGCTCATGAATACCTGTTATTCTCAAATGAGGCGGGCCTTCAGGCCGTGCACTTAATGTTTGAAGAAGATTTATCCACTGAGCAGGTTCAAATGAATTTAGATCTATGATATGAACCATCTTCTCCCCTTCCATAGCTTCTATGATGGCCTGATTTGTGATCACATATGAAAGCTTTAAGAAGGTAAAGAGCTCAAAGAATAATCTTTGAACAAGAATTTCTTCAGATATCAAAGATGCTTGTTTTGGATTGAGAGCTTTGTGCAGACCCGGCCATCCTTTAAGAATGCGATCAGCAAGTCCTGCGGTGAAGTACGCAGCAATCCGCTGCATGGTATCACCATCAGGAGAGGCAAGATGGGAGATTTGCTCCAGGCCAATATTTGCGTTCTCAATACTACCAGCTGCTACGTGGTTTGCGCAGGCAAGCAGAAGATGGATCAGACACAAACCTCTGTCTTCTGATTTCAGCTCCCTAAGCCAAGGGTATGGTGATCCCGTCCCTGGTGATAGTGGCATCCACGGAAAGAACTGAAGAGGTGATGAAGTTACAGATGATGATCCTTCTTCTTGGGCCATTCCTGCCATTAACTGCCAGGCCAAACTCACTGCCCTGGACAACAAAATATGACATGAAAAATAGTCCAGAATAAGAACTCGATGAATAAACCACGTAACTTATTTCTATGTAAAGATTATCCCAAAGGAACCACTGCAAAAATCGGAAAAACAAGAACATAAGATTATGATCTTTTCTTTCATGTAGCTCGGGTTATTAAATGACAACTTCCATGATCCTAGTAAGATTGTTGGATTAATCTAAGTTAAAAGAGTTTAATCTCAAAATTCAGTTTTTGCTTTCTTACATCTTCAAAAAGACTAATCAAAGAGTGCTAGAATACCAAAATACACACAAATACTAAATATAAGGTGAAGACTCTAGCACTCCTTGTTACTAAGAAGCATAGAAAAGTTAGCAGAACTAGCCAAATAGCTTTGTAAAGCTAAACTCAGTGAAGGTTTTTTTTAGTCTAGGAATTGAGAAAATTGAACTCCAACATTTTCTCAGGGACCAAACAGAAAGGAATTGCCTGACAAAGATCATTCAACTCTTAAAAGTAAAACGTAAAGAACCCTCAGTAAGAATCTTTCTCAACAATCACACCAAAGATTCAAACAGTCCATTTCCATTTTTTCCCCACACAAGTCTTCTGTAACCAAAACAGAGCAAGAAACCAAACTAAACAATGAAAACACAAACTAAAGCAAGCTCTTTCTACTAAAAATCAAAGCAAGCTAAACTGGTTTGCGTTTTGTTACACAGACAAATGGAAAAAAAAAACTTCAAATTTAGTGCAATTATGCTAAAACATGAAGCAGAGACAGGGAATCACCAGGGAGAGCTCAACTGTTCAAAAGCAGCAGTGAATCAAAATCCACAACTGCGTTTTGAAATTCACCAAAAACCCACCAAAATCACAAAAGAAAGTTCCAAGCTTGGTTCCTCAATTATCCTAATCCATCAAAGAGAATTAAGAGCTCTCTGCTCTGCTCTGCTCTACTCTACAAAGGTTTTCTTTCTGGCCTTA